TTCAAACCAATTCAGAACTGTTTCCGAAAGTCCCACCCAGTTCTCCAGTCGGTCTAGTAATATGCTGTGGTCAACAGTGTCAAACGCAGCACTGAGATCTAATAATACTAACACTGAAGTTCTGCCACTGTCTGTGTTTAAGTGGATGTCATTAAAGACCTTTACAAGAGCAGTCTCAGTGCTGTGGTTTGGACGAAAGCCTGACTGGAACACATCGAAAACGTTGTTTAAATGCAAGAAAATGACTCAGTCTTCATTCATCAGTTACGTCAATAGTGCTGCAGTCAGGAAACATAATATGATATTGCATATACAATAAGCATAAACAATTCATATGTTTTGGTTTGTCCAAATTATTTTTGCAATCTTTCACAAGAACAAAGGTTATAACAAATAGGCCCCGGTAGAAGACTGACAATCATCCTGTGTTTTCCCAGCCTGTCAGAGTGTCAGTGAACACAACACGACATCCAGCAGAGATGAATGCTGGTGATGCAGCAACATGGATCTGTTTCACTCCTTCATATCAACAAATTCAGCTCCAATATTATTGGAATTCTCACTTCCAAATGATTCTCTTCTCCAGACCTTTGGCCTGTGATGCTGTCTAATCAGCTGTCTGCCATCACAGGTTACCTCCTGTATGAATGAGAATGAAAATTAATGAACACATTTTTTATTCAGCAATAACATATCTCCATAAGATGAATTTCAAATATTCAATGCTTTTTATGTTCCAAATCAATTACAGCATAATATATTTTCTAATATTTATTGGTTTGCAGAAATAGAATCTGGCCCATTGGGCTTTACATAGTCACACCAGTGTTCCCAGTATGACAAGTTTATGGTTAAAATATGCTGTTATATTCTTTATTTTTAATGTCCACAATAATGTTTATCCAATAAGTAGGCCCCTACGACAATAATTATATCTTCTTCAGTCCCTCTCATTAATAGATGAATATTTTATTCATATTTGTCTATTTTCATCCAAGTATGAGTCCAATAACTCCACACAGATTTGAAACACATCTAAGGACTCCAAAGAGGTCCGGACTACCTCCCCTCTATGTGGCAGTCATAGCTTAAACTAAATGCAGTTAATATTGAAGTCATTTCTGATGTATTGTGAATCATTTTCTGAGATTGTCATGTTTAACAAGGTCAGTAAATCAGCTGTGATTGTTGAGGAAACATTACTCCTCCCAACACCACCGTCCACAAACAGAGGAACAGCAGGCCTTAAGGATATGTTTGATATTTACTTAATAAAACAATATTATGACATGCCACAGGAAGTGACTCTCCATCTTTCACAGAAAACTTAAAGGGGACCTATCATGCAAAATGCACTTTGTGATGTCTTTTATACATACATATGTGTCCCCGGTGCGTCGGGGAACTCACGCAGCGTCAGAAAATAAAACCCCCTCTCTTTTCCTCAAATCTTTTAAAAATGGGGGTACAACGAGCGGATACAGATTCCATCCGAACTGACGTCAAATCGGCATCAAATAGGCAGCGGACCCACAGAAAGTTGCTACCAGGAACAATGCCTGACGTGTTTTGGACGTAATCTCGTCTTTGTTTACATTAGCAAGCCTCGCTAACACTCAGAGCTAACCTGTACTGTGGAGCACATGTGTTTAAAAAGCAGGAAATAAAAAAAGAACTCACCTTGTGATAATGGCGTTTTATCACAGCAGAATTTAACTTTATCTCCAGTAGAATTCTGATCAGGCATTAGCTCTGCCTCCTCTTCTTTTATTTTTTCGAGCTAAGGACCCAAGATCTGCGTTTCTCACACCTTGGCTGCAGTCGAATAGTCCATTTAGCTTAGGAACCTTCCTAACGGAGTGAAATGACCCGGAAGTCCCTCAGTGGCAGCCATGATAAGTGCCGTTCCAATTCTCTACATGATAGGAAAGGAGGTTTCAAACTTCCTTTGTAACTGTCACTACCCGATCTGCAGCTCTGCCCGATCTGCAGTGCGCATGTGCGAGATGGTCCGCCATATTGGACAACTCCGTACGGCAACCTAAGAAGGACACTTGACACAGTGGCTTTTGGCAAATCTCAAAAAGAAACTTCTGTTAGACAGCTATATGCCATACATTTTTGCACACATTCACAGTAAATATGTATTCAGTATGATAGCTGTCTAACAGAAGTTAAATTAATTTCTCACTTATTCTGACAATGTACTTAACCCCAAATAAAAGAACCCAATAAAAAGAGTTGTTAAATAATAGGGAAGTCACGTTGTAATAACAATAACTCATCCCTCTCGAGTTTTCTTTTTGAGCTTTGCCAAAAGCCACTGTGTCAAGTGTCCTTCTTGGGTTGCCGTCCGGAGTTGTCCAATATGGCGGACCATCTCGCACATGCGCAGTACAGATCGGGCAGAGCTGCAGATCGGGTAGTGACAATAACCTCCTTTAGCTTAGGAACCACTGGACCTCCCTTACCGAAAGGAGAGGAGAAAGTGCTGCCCCAC